TTATGAAGGGATATGTTCTCTGGGATTTGTTCCTCTTTTGGGATGTCTCTGAGGCACCACATTAGGAAGCCTGTACTCCATATCTCAACTAGAGATATCAGTTTTATGGTCAGTCATGATCTGGCTTGCAATTTTTGTTAATGAGGTTTTACATGAATAAAAATCATCAGTACTACACTGGAATTGTACTATTCCCAAATACAAGGAGAGGTAAGCTCCTCTGCTTGGATAAATAAGACTTGCCACTTGGGTATTAGCAAAAATACTGGGATTGTTTAGTCTGGAGAAGAGGAGGCTGAGGGGAGACCTCATCGCCCTCTACAGCTCCCTGAAGGGAGGGTGCAGAGAGCTGGGGATGAGTCTCTTTAACCAAGTAACAAGTGACAGGACAAGAGGGAATGGCCTCAAGTTGTGCCAGAGAAGGTTTAGACTGGATATTAGGAAGCATTTCTTTCCAGAAGGGGTTGTTAGGCGTTGGAATGGGCTGCCCAGGGAGGTGGTGGAGTCCCCATCCCTGGAGGCGTTTAGCGCTGAGGGATATTGTGTGCTTGGGAACTGTTAATGATGGGTTGATGGTTGGACTGGATGATCTTCAAGGTCTTTTCCAACCTAGACAGTTCTGTGAGTCTGAAAAATGCTACAATAGCCTAAGAATTTCCTAAGAATTTTCTCTCTCTTTTTTTTTTTTTTTTTTTGTGGTAATGTATCAAATATGCAGTTATAGCAACATTTGCTTTCATGGTAGAATTGCACTGTCATTTGCCAAGAACAGTTGACAGTGTCAGAGCAGTGACCTTGAACTTCTCTGTGTGGAGACCCCTATAGCAATAACGTGACAGGGGCATGATCCTATGACATATATTGGCAGTCTTCACTCCAGACTATTATCCTTTTTTTAATACTCGAGTTTATTCCCAGAATGGCTGTGATTACAAATGTTGTTAGAATTGCTCTTAATTCAACATTTTTCTGAAGCATTTTAAGCAGAGACACTGAAAACTGAATGGACAAGCTAGCACAGAACTTAGCCTACATAAGAGAAGACCCCTCTTATACATATAGTCATGATTTGGAAGAAGATATTTAATAGCTGTCTCAAGTTTCTCTTTCTCAGAGGTGCTTATTTTTAGGTAAGAACACCTCCTAATTGTTTTGTATTGTGACCACATAGACTGAATCTATTTAACTGCAGAAAAGCTCAGAATTTTTGCAAGACTGTCTTTCTAATTTTGGTGAGGAGTGGAAACAACTGGATCCTGAGGATTCACAGAGAATTAAGACTTTTTTTTTTTTTCTGGCACAGTACTTATCTTTCCTTGAAAGTTCTGCAGGGATGAAAAAAACTCATCAGTTAGGAGGCAAGCAATTCTGAAGCTCGGGTGTTATAAAAGAGGGAGAGGTTTCCAAAGTGAGGTTTAATTTTGGAAGTGATTGTCTTTCCCCAGTCACATCCTGGAAGGAAATCCTGTGGTCACTACCACATGAAAAGATATGGTTGAGGGAAACTATCAACTCAGAGTCTTACATACAGCATTTAGTTTACACTTCCATCTTTTCCTTCAGCTTTCTTGCTAACTCAAGAAAAGTATGTACTCTTATGCTTGCTCCTCAATATGTCTTTCATGTCTGTGCACAGTCTTCTCTGTAGTTTTGCTTACCCACAGACTCCTGGAAAGTCAAGGCAAAGTTGAAGAGATAGAGCTGTTAGCAGGAAACTTTGGGCACCTCTCTTGCAACACCTGCTATCAGGATAGGGGGTATTATTCTTCTTCATTTAAGTTTCAGTTTTACTCTGCACTACATTGTACTTCTCTTTATAAAGTGCCCTAGATGCTGCCGACACATACTTTTAAGCTGACTACTACTCATTAAGCAATTGCTTTTTTTCTGTATGATAAACACTGCCATTTGTGAAAAGGAGGAGAGTGAGGGCAGAGGGAGTAGCACTGTGTTACCCGTTGATACATTTCAAAAGAGAAACCTTGTCTTACACCATAAAAAGGGAAAGGGAACTTTGGGGGTTATTCAGTTTTGAAGTTAGCAGCTCCATTAAAGGTCAGATGCTCTTCTAACTTGTAGTTCTCAAATATTCTGATTTCCGTGAGGAAACTTTGTCTAAATCCTCTTCAGAGCACAGCAGACTCATTGAGCTGTGACAACTGTCATGGCTAAACAAGTCAGTGTGGCAACTCAGGAGCCTCTTTGCTTGAATTACTCTAACATAGAAATGTCTGATAGTCATCCCACCACCTAGACAGTTCTGTAGCTAAAGGTGATGAGTTATAGATAACATCCAAAACTCAAGAGCTAGCAAGGCTTCTCTCAAATCAGCCAAAATACAGAAATCTCGAAAGATGTGATTCAGAGCTACATCCTCACTACAAGAATCTCTGATGTTGCCGTAAGTGCATCTTTGTAAAAAAGAAATGAAATTACATTTATTTAGACTCACAACATTACAATTATTAAGAAAATAACATTTTCTCCCATTCAAGATGTAACCCCATTTTCTCGGCAAGAATTCTTTCCCAGGTGCAGGTATTTGGCCCAAGGCTTGGTCATACTTCACTATACCCTTGACTCAAAACATAACCAGTCCTTTGAGGGGAAATGAGAGTAGCCTTTTATTGGACTGCTCATATATTTAGATGCCTTTAGATGATAAGCACACAGGATAAGTTAGAAGGGAATGAGGCACCAAATAGAAAATTCCTCTCCTATATTTCTATCTTAGGTTGATTGCTTTTGCAGAAATTTCCCAGAATTTCTGTTAGCAACCAAAACTACCCTGTGCATGCAGAAACTGTGGGTGTGTGGGCAGGAGAGTGGGCACTCATGGCTGCATTGCAGTCTGTAAAGTAAACAAGAAAGGCCAGTAAATGGATATCCGGGCTGTATTAAAACTTCCTGAATATTAATTTGTAATTAATATTTTGTAAGGAAAATAAGAGGGAAATAAGCCAAATAATCAGAGGTTCCCAAAACAGAATCTCACAGAAGATCCCGTTAATACTTACAGCACAAGAGCAGAGATAAACCTGGAGATTTCTTTGCTAACATACCCATTTCTGAAGGTTCACGTCTGGATAATTTTAGAGCCAAAACCAGACTTCTTGTCAAAGGCTACGGCTTCTGCAGAAGATGTTCCTTTCTGCATGAAAGTGCAAATTGAAAAAATAGTTAAAGATGAAAAAAAAAAAAAAATCAAGTGCAAACAGTAGAATTTGTTAGCCAGATCAGTTTTCTACAGCACTTCATGATTAACACTGTTTGTGTGCAAAGGATAAGGAACTCTTTAGAAAGCATTTCAGAAAATATTTTTAATATTTTGTACGTGTTGTGAAGAGGAGGATCTGACTTCTATCCCATGTAAATGCTCAAAGATTTCCCAGCAGGTCATAGACAGTAGATAAAATAACCATAGTACAATGCTGTCTTTCTAGGCAGCATCAGGGTGAATTGTGCAGGGCAGGAGCTCAGTTTTGATAGTGGGAAGATATACTGGATCAGGCTGGGAGGGTCTTAATTTTCTTCATAGCAGCTTTTATGGTGCTGCCTTTTAGATTTGTGTCCACAGTTGGGACAGGTGACACAAATTGCCCAATCGAATATCCTTTGCCATATAGCACCATGTTCAGCAATAAAACAGGGGAGGAGAGTTTTTCCAAAGTAGGCATTGCTCACAGACTGGCTGGTCATCTGTCTGCTTGGTGGGAGATGGCAAGCATCTGTTCTTTTATCCCATCTTGTGTTTTTTTTTCTGTTTCCTTCACTTATTCAACTGTTTTTATTTCAACCCACAAGTTTTCTTGCTTTTGCCCTTCTGATTCTCTCCCCCATCTGCTGTGGGAGCAGGGAGTGAGTGACTAGATGGGTCAATCCATCACAGGAAACAAGGCTTGGGCAGCAAAGGAGAAAAATCTGTAGGGAATCAGTTACATTTAGTTCTCTTACACCCACAATTATTTTCTGTTTCTTTTTTAAAATCTCAAAATAAGTTCCAAACTAGATTTTTAAAAATATTAATTTCTTAGTATAAAAAGACAAAGATTCAACCAAGCTAAGTGATCCAAATTGAGGTTTACATTTGATATTAGGAAAAAAATTTGTCATGGAATGAGTTATCAAGCACGGGAATAGACTGCCCAAGGAAGTGGTTGAGTCACCATCCCTGCAGATATTTAAAAGACGTGTAGACATGGCACATAGGGACATGGTTTAGTGGTGGATGTGGTAGTGTCAGGATTACAGCTGGACTCTATGAATTTGAGGGTCTTTTCCAAACTACATGATTCTGTGCTTCTAAAATTCTATGATTCTACATATATATGAATGTAAATATATGTGTGCATATACAAATGGAGAAAAAAATTTAACATATAAAATCCATTCAAGAAAATTATGTGCATTATATATATATTCACTGAGAAAAAGATCCAGATTAAAAATAGGTCTTCTGGATCCTAACTGGTTCTCAAACAGATGAGTAGATGGACACTAGCTTAAGACACTTTAGAAATTTCACAAACTACACCTCAGAATGACCCACCATGTAATTAAATTAAGTTTCAATGAAAAGCAGACCGGGAGCCTGCCCCTGTGTCACTACTGCCACAGGCTGAATTTCTTCAGTTACATCTCATCTTGCAGAACACAAGTGCAGAGAGAATGAAGTGGTGGTTTTGGGGATGTGATCTCTGCAAAAGACGTCTGCAATCACACAGGGTACAGCTCGCCACTGAAGAAAGTAAGTGCATGGTGGGGCTGTGAGCAGGACCTGCACTACATGAGCAGCCAGGGATCGCAGTGCACGTTGGGGCAGTTGCACGGCCGTCTGAAGGCAGGGGTTGGGGCAGATGTACTGCCTACCTGAAGCCATCTGTGTCGGGAGCAGTCTGTTGCCTCTGTCAAGAAAACAGGTAGGTGTTAAATTGCCAGGAAAGTGCAGACT